AACAGATCAACATACATAATATGTTGATCTGTTTTATTGTTGGTAACTATTATATGTTATGTATATTGATCTGTTGTATTGTTGGTAACTGTTATGTATGTTGATCTGTTGTATTGTTGGTAACTGTTATGTATGTTGATCTGTTTTATTGTTGGTAACTATTATATGTTATGTATGTTGATCTGTTCTATTGTTGGTAACTATTATATGTTATGTATATTGATCTGTTCTATTGGTGGTAACTGTTATATGTTATGCATGTTGATCTGTTGTATTGTTGGTAACTGTTATGTATGTTGATCTGTTGTATTGTTGGTAACTCATAACAGTTACCAACAATACAACAGATCAACATACATAACAGTTACCAACAATACAACAGATCAACATACATAACAGTTACCAACAATACAACAGATCAACATGCATAACATATAACAATTACCAACAATACAACAGATATAACATATAATGGTTACTAACAAAACATCAGATTAACATCTATAACATACAATGGTAACCAAGTTAACATATTATTGTTATTAAGAACATTGCATCATACTAAAAACAGACACACAATAATCTAAACATACCTCAGCAACAGATGTGTGTTCATCAATGGATACAAAGATCTTGTACAACAAAGTCTCAAAATAATCTCCCATTACTCTGTTCATTACAAAACCTTCCAAAGGTGGAACTATCAGAAAAATAAATATATATATATATAAGGAAAGTGTCCCTAATTTAAAAGTATTGTTAAGTTTATCAATACTTCAAAATCAATCACAACTATTTCCCTAATAAAACAAATTACATTTCATGTCCATATAAGTACATTTATAAATCTACTACACAATGTTAAATGATTACTTAATTTTCTTTTCTAAGCATACTGGACACAATTAAACATGATTTTATTAAAAAAAACTATATTTACACAAAGTAACCGTACTTTATTACTTACCAGTTATGTAATCTTCATCTTCGACAGGTACATCAAGGTAAACTAATCCTTTGAGGTAAAGAGCTAAATGGGAAACGAGGGAAAATTATATATACTTGAAGGAAGAAATTCAACTATG